ACGGTAGTTGGAGCATTCTTTGGCACTGCCCTTCTTTGGGACTGATCTTTTCCAATCCTCTGGCCACTGCTGAGTTTTCCAAACTTGCTGGCATATTGAGTGTACCACCTTAACAGCATCATCTTTTAAGATTTTAAATAGTTCCACTGGAATGCCATCATCTCCACTGGCCTTGTTGTTAGCCATTCTTTCGAAGGCCCACTTGACTTCACTCTTCAGGATGTCTGGCTCAAGGTCAGCAACCACAGTATCTGGGTTGTCAGGGACATCCAAATCTTTCTGGTATGCATGTATGTATTATAAAATTATAATAATCTTGCTCTCTCTTTTTTTCTTTGCTACAATGGGATATTTAAATTCTCTATGGGATTGTAAGCATGTTCCCTTTATTAGAGTTCCACTTCACTCCTTTTCACTAAGGTTCTAACCAGTGGCCATGCAAGTTAGAGTATCCTGCGAACTGTAATCCGAAATCATACACCTTTCAGGAAATACCCCCACCCCCGTTTTATTTTTTTATTTTTTTTAAGATTTATGATAAGAAATGACAGGTGATTCATTAGGACATGTACAAGGGCTCTAGTCATCTGCTTGAAGTGACAAGCAGGTACATCTAACCTAGGAGCATATCTGCCTGGAACACGGAGCTTACCACTTGTATCCAGAAGCTGTAGCCTTTTTAGAAGTTAAATCTTCTGGGAAGAAGTCTGCTAGCTTGCAGGCATTCTGTATCAGTGGATCTATTCTTGAGAAGTAGTTCCAGCTTGCCACAACAGAGTGGTAGATAACATTTTGTAAGCAAACATTCCAAACAAGCAGATTTTCTCTGACTACTGCAGCCTGGTGCTTGATGTGGCAAGCTAGAATTTTCCCACATTGGTTTGTGCTGCTCTGATGTGTCAGCCGTAGGGCGAAGTAAAGATTCAGAAGATAATATGCACTCCTGTTTGTGCAAACATGGTTTTAGTTTGTAGGCTGCCTCCTCAAAGGGGAAGTCTAAGCACTTAAAACCTCTTAAACAGAAAGTGGGAATAACTGCTCATTGGTTAGTCACCTTTGTTTCACTTCCTTCTAATTTCAGAGCTCATCTGTGTCTCCATCAGCCAGTTTTAGAGCCTCTGAGAAGCACAGAAATTCAACAGACTACTCTTCTGAAAGCAAAAAGCAGAAAACAGAAGAAAAAGAAATAGCAACCCGTTATGTGAGCACGACATTTTATATTTCTCTCCTTTTTATTACTTTATCTTTAATATAAAGGTGTGCCCTGATCTTTTTGCATATTGAATGATACCTCTGTGGCTACCCGTTTTTGAAGGATTTTTCCAACTTAGCCTGGGACAGCAAGGTGGGGGGGGCGTTACTCAGCCACATTCGCTGGTCTCCCAACAGACCTTCCTTTCTTGCCAAGGAGCTCACTGGGAGGTATATCTGAGGGAGGCCAGGAAGTCTATGACTAGATGCCAGGCCTCCTCTGTGATGACCAGCTCTTTATGAAATGCTTGACTTTTGGAGGTGTGCCAGGCTGCTTCCCTCCTAATATTTAGGAAGCACATAAAACTTTGCTTTTCTGGGAGGCGTTTCAGGATATCGTCCCCTTACAATTGCTGGTTATTTAATATTATGTTGAGGATAGTACCCTGTAACCTTTATTCTGTCTGTTGCCACCATCTTGATTTTTAGATCTGTTGTTTTGTTCTTGGGTGGGATTTTTGCATGTTTATTTTACTGCTGGGAACTGTCCAGAGTAGTGACAAGGCCACTAGATAGTATGGTATATAAATAGAATAAAATAAGATAAAATCTTGAATAATATAGCAATTTTTACACAGCCCTGTTATGAAAGATGTAAAGGATGCTGCATAAGCAGCCGCCATGGCTGGTAGAGACTTGTGTGTGGGCTAATTTGCTTGAAATAGATTTTCTAGAGGCCCTTAGGCCTTTGGGCAGGGCAGCTCCTCCAGTCCCTCATGGATGAATTTTTAAAACGGTGTTTTCTTTCTGTGAAGCCAGACTTTTCAAATACTTAAGAATTCATTTTCTTTGATGCAGGACAGTGATGGTGAAAAGAGTGATGATAACTTGGTGGTTGATGTTTCCAATGAGGTATGTGCAATTGGATGCCACTGTGTAATGAATATTTTTAAAAATATCACTGGATTCAAATACGTAGGATTAGATTTCTTACTCTTAGTAGGAATTTTGTTTGATTTCTTTATATTATAATACAGTAAATCATCTTATTTGCTCCAAGGGAAGGCTTAGCATTATTACATCATACCCAGAGTATCATCACTTCACACCCTGAGGTAGAAATATGTTTCTTTAGTTACCAGGCCATCTTTTTATTCCCTTTGATATCCCACCCATCCTCTAGCAAGCTCAAAGGGACATACATGGCTCCTCTCCCTTTCACTATGTCTTGCCACAACTGTGTCAGGCAGATCAATTTAAGAGATTATGAGGGTCTCAGAGTCCTGCCAGTGAATTCCACAGCTGAATGAGGATGTGAACCCAAGACTTTAACCACTACACCATACTAACCCTTTATGTGAACTGTGGGAAAAGCAGTCATGCATGAGCTTCATTATGAAGGCAACGTGAAATGATGCTGTGTATCCAGTTTAGAACAAGTAAGATGCCTTGATAATAATCAAACGTCGTCTTTAGGATCCATCATCGCCACGAGGAAGCCCAGCACATTCTCCACGGGAGAATGGCTTGGACAAGACTCGTCTACTCAAGAAAGATGCACCAATTAGTCCAGCCTCGATAGCATCTTCCAGCAGTACTCCTTCCTCCAAATCCAAAGAACTTAGCCTTGTAAGTGATTGTACAATCTGTGTTCATGCTCACATTGCTGTATGCACCATTGAGTGACTAAACAGAGAGAGAAAACAATGTGTCTATGTTGCATGTCTTGATATAAGGCTTCCTTCAGTAAGTTTCTCCTAAAAATTACCGTTGAAAACCAGGATCTTTTGGAGTGATAGAGAGGGTTTATTCAGTTAGCACTGTCTGAAAAAGATGCATGTGCCTTTTTGTGTGTGTTAACCTTTTTTCATGTTGGGAAACGTACCATCCTCTGGATAAATAAGAGCACAGAGGGGTTCTTTGAATACTTCCATCCATCCATTTTTGTATGGATTTACAGTTAATTCAGCATCTTGATTGGATATGATTTGGTTTTTTTGGGAAATGATTGTAGCTGGTCCATGTTCAGCTACAATCATTTGCTCTCAAAAAAAAGTAATGTCATTTACAAGAGTCTCTCTTGACCGTCGCTATGCAAGGCACCACTGTAATGTCATTTACAAGAGTCTCTCTTGAACAGCATAACAAGTCACAAGGCAAAGAAGGGTTGCTTGCAGGCCCAGTTGTGTGTGTGTGTGTGCCCTTCCCCAAAGCTTCCTTTTTTTCTGACAATAAAGAGGAGAGTAGCTACTCCAGGAGGGCCAATTCACTTTTTCTTTTTTTGGTGGGGTCAAACTTCTTCCTCTCTTGTTTGACACCTCTGAGATCTGTTCTTCTAAACCACAAAAAGACTTCTAGCTGTTTCCAATTTCTTTTCTTACAATTTTTTGTGGTGTGTTCTGTCCCTGGACAAAGAAAAACAAAAATAAAAAGATGGCTCCCAGACACACTTAAAACATTTCCCTTTCAGCAGTAGGTGTGAGAAATTGCATGCAGGGTTTTTAAAACTCATTATTTGCTATTTCCTTCATTAGGCAAATAACCAGTGGCCAATGCACAGTGCATAGTGGATGCAATCTACAAGAGTTCATTTCTGGGCAGTCTGCATAGGTTTGTGCACCTGTGGTGCTTTGCTTGGTGTAATTAATATTAAAAATTTTGGCGCATTAAGGGACTTTGGGAAAGATTAAGTCCAGACATTATGTAGTGGCGGTTTTAGCTACCGTTATATCTATAATTGTTTAGTTTCTTCATAGTGCAAGTGCCTCATGACAAACTAACTTGGTCATTCTCATGAGAGAGAAACAGGAAGCTGAGGAACTGTCACCTGCTAAGAAAGTCTTCACTAATGGGATCAGAAAGCATTTCAGCACAGCTTTCATGTTTCTGTGATGTTACATTTGGGCAATGAAGGCGAAGTCAAGCCTCGTTCAAGAAGCTGGCTTCTTCTCCATTCCCCAGTGACAAGAGCACCAAGGGCTTGCAAGATGAAGTCAATATCCACAACATGGTGGTCACAGAAGATATATTGCTGAAAGCCCTGTTTGCAAGTTGCTACACATACGTTCTAAAAATGACAAGATTCTTTTTCTTTCCATTTCAGAATGAAAAATCTACCACCCCTGTGTCAAAGTCAAGTACCCCCACCCCACGGACTGATGCGCCAACACCAGGCAGTAATTCGACTCCTGGACTGCGGCCAGTTCCAGGCAAACCACCAGGGGTCGATCCATTAGGTTAGTAAACTTGAAATTGCTGAAGAGGAAAGTGGAGTGAAAGCACTGCAGGTTGTACTTTGCAGGTTGTCTTTGCATCCTCAACGACAATACTCACCAAATCCCCACTGATTCATTGGGCCTACTGTGGTGCTACTAACTGTGCCGAGCAACCGGATGGCAGCCAGTGGAATACTTTGCATATCTACAGCTTGCTTGTGTCTCAGTCAATCATAGTTTTAACTTTGAGCTTGTTCAAAAGTGCAGAAATAGCAGGGGATGTAGGTATGTCTGTTCCGGATTAGAGCAAACCTTGTCTGAAGGAGTTCGGTGTAAACAAATATTTTCTCTGTGTGGCCGTGTGGAGAAATTGTGTTTTGTTTCTTGGTTTGCATGGGACAACATTCAGACATAGAATATCCCACCTGCAGTTTGCAGTGGTGCCGTCCAATATAGGTGACACCTTTTTCCATTTTTGCAGTTTCAAAAAGGTCCTTGGGAATTTATCTAAGACTCAGGGAAAAGAACTTGTGTAAATCTCAGCAATGTTTGTGGGTGTTGTACCCCCTCCCTTCTTGTGCTTTCCTCCTCCTCCTGATAGCTTATTGTCTTGCTTCTTTCTTCAGTGTACTTTTTGAAATCTCTTTGTTTTAATTCCCCCACTTGACCTTTTTGTAGCTTCAGGCCTAAGAACACCTATGGCAGTACCTTGTCCTTATCCTGCCCCGTTTGGAATAGTACCCCATGCTGGAATGAATGGGGAGCTGACCAGCCCTGGAGCTGCATATGCAGGTCTGCATAACATCTCTCCTCAAATGAGTGCAGCAGCCGCTGCTGCAGCTGCGGCTGCGGCTTATGGGAGGTCTCCAGTGGTAAGTTTACAGTGTTTGTGGTTTATGTCACAGTGAAGGCTGGTTGTGTTCTGAGTGGGGGTGGTGTAAGGTTTTGGGTTTTTTTCCCCACTCAAAGCAGTAGCTTATGTAAACATGAAGCAGACTGCTTTAAAGGAGCATGGCCAGTTGCCTGGGGAAATCTGATCATCTTTTGAACTCTTTCAGTATTTGTCATAGGGCTGGTTCCCATTTCATGCCTTTTCTGTTGATGTAAAGTTCCTTGTCACCAGTTAGATTTCTCAGACAGTCACTTTAAGGAACAGAGGGGAGTTGGGAGGGGAGTTCTTCCAGTTTTCTCCAAAGTCCCATCGCTGCAGTCATTGTTTTGCATCTAAGATGGCAACTGGATGACCAGTTGGGGGTAACTTGCGTGATGAATGGCTCTTGGACATTATGGTTTCTGCACACGGACATTGCACTCCAGTGATGTTTTCAGTGGTTTCTACATGGGGCATGTAATGTTGGAACCAGGCTTGGTTGAGCTAGCAGCCTTCTAGCCTTACTTATTTATTCTCAACGTGGTAGAAAAGCACAGTGGGCCAGATTTTAAACAACTTCTGAGCATAGAACAAAGTCTTAGTGTTCAGCCTTTAAAACCCCATGCAGCTTAGAACTTGAGCATCTGAAGTAGAATCTCCTGTGACATCAACCTGTCTGAACATGAAGCTCTTCCTGGAGGGCTTCATCCTGCTGTTCCTATAGTCGTACATGAGGCAGGTAACCAGGATCTTTCCTCCCATTTGTGGAATTCCCTTTCCATGGAGGCTCAACCTAGCATTTAACAAAGTTTTTGTCTTCCGTTGTCCCAGGTTTTCTAAACTGGTGGTGTATTCTTGTTTTTGATGGTATCTCTTTGGGTTGTCAGTGATTTTATAATCAGCCATTTTATTACGGAAGATTAGTTGTTACTGCAGTATAGAAATTATGTAAATAAATAAGTGAGGATTTTTCTCTTACACTTGTCATATGCAGAGGCAGTATCCCTCTAAATATCACATGCTGGGAATACATCGTGCCAGAGCGCTTGTTAAAGGCAAATGGCTTACCATGGTTGGGGGAAAAAATGGACTGTGGACTCTTGCTTGGTCCAAATGAATCTGGTCTTTCTTATGTTCTTAAACCTTTGGGAAGGTAGCCTGTTGTAATATTTGAGAGTTGGATGATTAGAGTCAGATGGATAGGATTCTAGCACTTTCCATTAACACTTTGAACTTTCTTTGTTGTATTTGTGGGAAAACTTCAGGTTGGTTTTGATCCACATCATCATATGCGAGTCCCAGGCATCCCTCCGAATCTGACAGGCATCCCAGGAGGAAAACCGTGAGTGTTAAACGTACAAACTCAATCATATTATTAAGCTTTTGTCCCCTTTGCTTGCTCTCTGATACTGAATGCCATGTGTGGCAGAGGGTGGTTAATCCTTCTTTTAATCTTAAAAGCCTATTTGGCAGTTTTTCCCATAGGTGAATATGTGCCAAGGGTATCAGATACCGTGGATAAGAGAGGGCAAAGGGAAGGGGGTTATAGTTTTGCAATGGGATGTGTTGGAATAAGGTAGCTCAGTTTGGCAAGGGAATGCAAATTGCAAAAGGTTCCCTGGTGTTCATGTCTTCAGAGTTCTGCCTCTCCATTTTAAAAATAATTCCTTTGTGCACAGAAGAATCTCTGCCATCAACTGCAGACTTACCAGGTTGCATAAACAGAGTTGTGCAAAGGAAGAAACACTGTAATGTTCTATTTGATTGAAAATACTGGAAAGAATTGTGAGATCATTATGTGTACAAATGCATCCTTCATGGAACTGACCGGAAAGGGTAACCTGCTCTAACAAGCCTGGCTCACAGAGACCTGAACAGGAAGAATTATGTAACCAATATAGAGTTTTTGCTCATTCCTCTTCGGCAAAGAGAAAATTACATAGTGATCCAGGGCATTGATTTCTTTATATATTTGTGGCTCTACAGTTCCTTTGTGAAATTGGGGTGGAGGTGGGGAGTGACCCATAGAGCATAGCTGTTGCGGACAGTTGGCAGCACTCCATGTTTTTCTTCCTGTGTATTTTAAACTTGAGTTAGGAATTTGGCTGTGGAGCCAGAGGTCAGGAGTTTGATTTCTCACTATGCCTCCCAGAAGGAAAGCCAGCCTGTGTGGTGTAAGGCAAACTGCACCATCCCAGACTGCCCTCCTCCTGAAGAAGAGGGTGGTAAATGAAATAAATAAATAGTAAACTACTTCTGAGTAGTCTGTCCATAGGCAGCCCTGGAAAGGTTGCCATATGTTAGAATCAACTTAATGGCTCATCATCGTTGTTGTTGTTGTTGTTGTTGTTGAACTTAAGCCTATAGGAAGATATGCCAACATAATCTTCTTTTTTAAAAAAACTTATTCCATCCTGGATGACATCATGAATCAGATGGGACAGATATTTGTCATCTGAATTGCAGTGGCATGGAACTTTGGCACCTTCAACTCTTGGCCTTTGGTCCCCAGAAAGGCCCAGCCATAATGGCAAATGATCATAGGAGTTGTAGTCCAAACATCTGGCAGAAAAAAGCCACCCTGACCCTATTTTACAGGAAGAACTTGGAGAATGAGAAAGCAGAAAGGAACTAAGTATAAAGAGGTTCCTGCCTGTCTTTACTACAGGGCTTCCTCTTTCAGTTCCTATATCAAAAATTTCTTCTTCGTGGCCTCTGTGAATGCACACAAATGGGTTTTACTGCGCCTAGGCAGGACTCTTCAGAATATTCTAGAGATTAGTATGATGTTGCCCCGTGGTGCACATGCTCCACCCGCCAGTAATACCTCAGTTCCTTTTAGCTGCCACTCAAATCGGACTTCTTTACGACTTAGAGCTTTGTGATTCTATTAACGGCATATTGATCTTTGGAGTGTTTACGGTTCTCGATTCTTGGAATATGGACTCAGTCAAGTTTTTCATTTACGGACGTTCCCTGTGAGTTATTGTTCTTATCATTCTCCCCTTTTCCCCACCCCTCCTTTCCCGCCCTTTTTTATAACCTCCTCAGACCCTTTCAAATGCTGCATGACGTGTGCCAGTAAAATTCCTTTTACCGACAGCCACAATTGTTGCTTGTTCTGTTTGGGCGATAGTCACCAAACTCACAATTGTCCGGAGTGTAAAATGTTAACAAAACCAGCTTTAAAATTCCTGACTTCAACGACTGAGGTCCCACTTGTAAGAAAAATCTCTGGCACCTTCCAGTCTGTCATCCAGTCCTACAATGGAACTTACCCCAGTTCCACAGTCTCGGTCTGAGTCCTCCATCCCACTGGCTGTGACAACTTCATCACCGAGGTCCTCTACCAAGGCTTCCAAGCCTAAATCACCTTCGGTGTCGACCTCAATGTCGAAGTCTTCCTCAGTGTCGGCAAAGACTCAATCTGGTAATAAACAAAAAGACAAACAGAAGAACACAAAACCTAAACCTCATCAGTCTCGTGAGCCACCAGTTGTCCACGTCTTTCTACCATCTCCCATCCTGGAGGAATCATCGAGGGACGTCCCAGACCACAGCTCCATTTCGGAAGCAGGTGAATTGAACCTTCCTACTTGGGCTCAAGCTTCGGTTTCCATACTGAGCTTGTTGCCAAGTCATAGCGGTTCTGAGGCTGCTACCATATCCAGCCTGGCCTCGGCCCATTCTAGCCCTGTTTAGACGGGGCAGGTGACTGTGATATACCTGTCGAATTCAAAGGCATCAATTTCGCAATCCCCTCCAAGGAAGAGGACAGAAAAGTGGCATCACATCTCTCCGCCTCCGCAGTATCGGGAGGTAATCTTTGTCCCGCGTCCATCTCTACGCCATGCCTTTCATGAATACAGTGGGGTCTCGACTTAAGAACTTAATCCGTATTGGAAGGTGGTTCTCAAGTCGAAAAGTTCTTAAGTCGAATCTGCATTTCCCATAGGAATGCATTGAAAACCATTTAATCCATATCTGCTCTTTTCTGTCCATAGAAACTAATAGGAAGCTGCTATTCTGCCTTCTGCCACTAGAGGGGGCTATTTTCTTTCTTTTTCCCCCTTAGGTTCAGGGTAGGCAGGGAACACTAAAGGCAGCACTTTAGAACTCTTTTTTTTAAAAACGAAGCCAATTTTAAATAATGTTTTAAAGCATGTTGTGCTGATTTTTTCAGCACAAAGGCACTCAGGCAGGCTTTTTAGGTGCTGAGCAAGCCTCCGGAAGCCTGCTCAGAGCCAGCCGGTCAGCTGTTAGGCAGGGAGAGGAGCGGGGAAAACCGCAAAATGGCTGCCAGGCTCTTTCTGGGTGTCGGCTTTTAGCTCTTTCCTGCTCTTTTTCCTGTGGTTTGGGGGCTACCAAGGCCTGGTAAGTGACTTTATTTAACAGTACAGTATTTATTTTTAAGTTTCTGACCCTTTTCCCCCCTCCAGAAGCCTCTAAGGGGAGGGAGGGGGGACTTTTTTCCATGTTCATAACTCAAGGGAAGTTTGCATGTCGAGTCCTTACTTTCCCTATAGGGCAGGTTCGTGACTCGAATTGTTCGCCAGTCGGGTCGTTCGTAAGTCGAGACCCCACTGTATAGTGATCATCATCGATACCTATTCGACCAATATGACACGGCATTTGCTACAGAGTATTAGGAGCACCCCAAATGTGTTCAATACACTTATGCCCCGTATGAATCATCTCCGTTACCATCACCGCCTCCTGTTCGGAGTTGACACCGAGCCAATCATGAGCCCACCCCAATGGTGCCAAAGTCTAAGAAATCTAAACACCATTTGCCTAGTGCTGAAGTACCTCGTTGTGGCTCAACACAAGTCTGCTCCACACGAGACTGTTCCATCAACATAGCAATACTCTTCTATGATATCGGCAGCCTCGACCTCTCGCCAGTCTGGATCCTGCTCCGACCGTCAGGTTCTACCATCAACCCCTCTTGTTCCTATTTCTCGACATCGTCAACGTTCTCCCTCTCCAGCTCTTTCCGGCTCTGAACAATCTTCGGCATCAATGGTTTCTGATCATTGTTCTCCCTCTGAATCATCCAGGTAGTCCCTATCAAATCTTCCAACCCCAGATTCTGACGTTGCAGATGTGCACCCTTCATTGCCATCTGAAGACTTTCTTGCACACAGCTCATTCTTCACATGGCCAAATCATTGGAGCTGGACTTGGAACAGTAATCTCCTCCCAAGCATGATCTTGTCTTTGAGGACATTAATCAGGAAAAATCTCCTCCATTGAGTTTGGCATTGATCCCAAACATGCTGGATCTTATTAAGGAATATTGGAACAAACCATCGACATGTGGAGAATCACTACCACACTCAGCACTGACACAGCGTTCTTAGTCAAACATCCTCCACCAAATTCTATTATCGTTCAGTCTGATCAGTCCCAAGCAGGCAATCGGTCCTCAGTCACTCCTACTAACAAGGAGGGAAGGAAACTAGACGTACTGGGTCGCCGGTATTCCTTGGCTTCCTTTGTTATGAGGGTCTCAGTTTACCAGGCTTGATGGGGGTCTATCACAGGCAGCTATGGAACAAAATCTTCCAAGTTGTTCCTGAAGAGGCTAGAATCACTGCTCTGAACACCCACCTTGAGGCCATTCCTTTGGCTAAACAACGCCTCACATCTCGCCATGCAACCTTGAGGCCATTCCTTTGGCTAAACAACAACGCCTCACATCTCGCCATACGGCTGATGCCGCTTCTAAATCTTTGGCTTCTGCCAAAGATGGCATGCCTGGCTGCAGTCTGCAGGGATTACTGATGATGCTCGGTCCCGTATTGAGGATTTGCCTTTCAATGGTGTAGGCCTCTTCAACAACAAGACTGACGAGGTGATGGAAAACCTACATAAAATTCGCAAGACTGCCCGCTCCTACTCTATTCAACAAGCCAGATATCAATTCAATCATTGGTGTAAGCTCTTCCATTTCCATCAATCATATCAGCACCCCGTCGACGTTACAAACCTCCGGCTCAGGCTCCTGAGAGGCCCAACTTTTCTCAGCCTTCCTCTTCTGCTCCTGCTTTCCAGTCCCAGGCCCCTACTCAACGCAGACAAGGTTTCCATCGCCCTGCAAGGAAAAACAAGCAATATCTTTGACTCTCCTCTCTTGGACTATCCCCATCATCGCCGGTTTGTTTCCTTTTTTGACAAGTGGTCCACCATCACCAAGGACACTTGGGTGCTCACAATCATACGTTTCGGTTACCTATTGGAATTCAAGGAGCTTCCTCCTCTTGGTCATATCAGACCCACAATGTACTCACCTGCTCTAGAGGACAAGGTTACACTCCTTATTTAAAAACGTGCTATCCAGAGGGTACCTCCCCAAGATGTTCTGAACTGTTTCTACTCACGTTACTTCGCGGTTCCCAAAAATAATGATGGTTTCTGTCCCATCTTAGATCTGCAACTGCTAAACACCTATATTTGCCCAAGGCGTTTCCGCATGGTCACTCTCGAATCAGTCATCCCTCTGCTTCAACCAGGCAACTGATTTGTGGTTATAGATCTCCAGGACACATATTTTCATATTTCAATTCACAAACACCATTCAAATATCTCCGGTTTCTCTTCATAGACATTGCTTATCAATTTTGTGCCCTTCCCTTTGGCTGAGAACCTTCACAAAGTGTATGGCTCCAATCGCTGCCTATCTTTGTCTTCGCAACATCACGATTTTTCCATATATAGACGATTGGTTGATAGTAGCACGATCACACAGCGCAGCCTGAAGGCACACTACCTTTGTCCTACAGTCTCTGGCAGATCTCGGCCTTCAAGTCAATTACAAAAAATCTCATCTTGAGCCATCTCAGACAACGGATTATATTGGGGCACATCTTGATTCCATCATAGCCAGGGTTTTTACACCTCCAGAGAGAATACTCAAGTTAAGGTGAGCCATCCTCCCCTTTTGGGCGGATGTCACAGCTCAACATACACAGCACCTGCTGGGTCTAATGGCTTCAACTACGTCAGTACTCCAACATGCGAGACTGAAGATGTGGTCCTTACAGGCCTGGTACCTATCCCAGTTCGACCCTATGATAGACCCTCCTTCCAAGCATCTACTGGTGACCCTGGAGTTAGTTTGCCAACTTACCTGGTGGATCTTTGTCCCTCACCTCCTGCTGGGCCGCCCATTCAGGCCTCTACAGCTCACGGTACAGGTTACAACAGATGCCAGACAGGATGGGGTGCACACTGCAACCATCGAGAGATCCACTCTTTCTGGTCAAGCTCAGAGAGACTGCTGCACATCAATCAACTAGAGCTGCTAGCAGTCATCAAATCCTTTCACGCTTTCCAATTTCTCCTAGCTGGTTGTGGGGTCCAGGTCATCATGGACAACATAACCACCCTGTATTATATCAACAAACAGGGTGGTACCCATTCTTTACATCTTCTATATTTAGCGATTCAGCTGTGGGAATGGTGTTACAATCACCACATCTTTCCAATAGTTCTTCACGTGGCTACGGAGAACAATGAGGTGGCTGACCGACTGAGCTGTCTTACCACCCAGATCCACGAGTGGGTCCTCAACGAAACTATCTTCCCTCTTCTCTGCAGTCAGTGGGGGATGCCAGATCTCGACGCCTTTGACACCAAGGTCAATTCCAAATGCAGGAGCTACTGCTCCTGGGCAGGAAGAGGAGAGAATTCTCTAGGTGATGCTTTCATGGTAGACTGGGGCAACAGTCTTCTTAATCTCTTTCCACCTATTCCACTCATCCAGTGCACGATAATCAGGCTCCACCAGCTAAACTCAGATGCCATTCTATTAGCACTGTGGTTCACCACTCTTAGAGCCATGGCTGTCGACTTCCTGAAGTTACCCCTTCAACCATCTCTTCCGACGCAGGATGAGGGTCAAATTTGCCACCCAGACCTCGACTCTCTACACCTCACTGCGTGGAGAATTCCCCCAAGGTGACTGAAGTCTTAAATAAAGCTAGGAAGCCCTCTACTCAATTGCTGTATTCATATAAGTGGAACGCTTTCATCAAGTTTGCTGCATTGCGGAATTTGACCATGGCTCCTGTCTGAACACTTTCATCAAGTTTGCTGCATTGCGGAACTTGACCATGGCTCCTGTCGCCTTGGACACCCTTTTGAAGTTCCTTCGTTATCTGTTTGATCAAGGTTTGGTTCATTCAACGTTGAAAGTTGATATTTCCCAAGGTTTGGCTCATTCAACGTTGAAAGTTGATATTTCTGCTATAGTTTCCTATCAGGCCTCTCGTTTATTCTCTCATCCTACTTTGAAGATATTTCTGAGAGGTTTGTGGAACATGCACTCACCTCCATGACCTCCATTTCCATGGTGGTCTCTCCAGATTTTTCTCCGTGTACTCACTTGTCCACCATTTGAGCTCATAGCCTCGACATATCTCAAACTTCTTTCTATTCAATAAGGAAGAGGAAGATTATGGCAAGAGGTCTTGCATACGGTGGTAGGGAATACAGTCAAATTGTATTTTAGTTTATATGTTATATGTTTTTGTTTATGTTATAGTTATAGAAAATAAAAAATATATTTACAAATATTTTTAAAAACTTTTTTTCTATCAAGACTTTGTTCCTTGTGGCTATAACTTCTGTGTGTTGAGCAAGCAAGCTGTCCGCCCTTCGAGCTGATGTCTCTTACATTCAATTTTATCCCGACAAAGTTGTCTTATATCCAGATGTGTCCTTTCTTCCCAAAGTGATTTCTGATTTCCATGTTAATCAACCTCAAATTCTTCCGATGTTATTTCATAATCCCTCTTCTGATGTTGAGCGCATGCTCCACTCCCTTGACGCTTGTTGTGCCTTAGCATTTTACATTTCCAGGACTAAGGAATTCCACACTTCCTCCAGACTTTTTGTGTGCTCGCATGGCCCACGAAAGAGCTCTCCTACCTCCTCACAGACACTCTCGAGGTGGATTGTCTCGGCCATTATTGTGTGCTCGCATGGCCCACGAAAGAGCTGTCCTACCTCCTCACAGACACAGACAATCTCGAGGTGGATTGTCTTGGCCATTACTTTGGCTCATAACTTGGCAGGCAAGTTTCCGCCAGAAGTGCTGAAGGCACACTCCACGAGAGCTGTGGCAATGTCTACAGCTCGGTTGCATGGCGTTGAAGTCCCTGACATCTGTTGAACGGCCACTTGGTCTACACCCTCGACTTTTGTGATGCATTATTGTCTTGATATCAGGGCCAAGAAGAAAGCAAGTTTTGGAAGAGCTGTGGGAAGGGCTGTGCTGACTTTATTGTTTGCGTGACGGCCCTCCTTCCGGTAAGTGAGCTTGCTAGTCACCCATTTGTGTGCATTCACAGAGGCCACAAAGAAGAGAGGTTACTTACCTGTAACCATAGTTCTTCAAGTGGTCCTCTGTGACTCCACACATCTCGCCCAGCCTCCCCGCTGTCTGTCACTTGGTATCTTGAGCTTTGTGGGAGTCAGAGCCTTGACAGCGCCGGACATTTCGGAACTGAGGTATTACAGGTGGGCGGAGTAGGGGCGCCACAGGGCAACGTCCTACTAATCACTTCTTTTTAAGCTCTAGAATATTCTAGAGTCCTGCGCAGGATTCACAGAGGACCACTCAAAGCACCACGTTTACAGGTAAGTAACCTCTCTTTTTACCGTGAATAGGGGACACATGTCCAGCTAAACTTGATTGTCTGAAGGAGTTATTTGAAGAATGTACCCTGTGGTCTAGGATCTCAGCTAGCTATTCCCTACTGTAATTGTACAAAATGCAGTGAATGTCTGCCAAATCACCTTTTACAACTTGGCCTTTTCTCTTCCAAACTATCAATGCATGCATTTATAAACAACAACAGAGGAAATAATTGACACTACTTAAAGTGCCAAAACAATATTTTAGAAAAAAAATTACTGTTTGTTCATCAACTACTGTGCAGCAAATAAAGCAGCAGAATCTTTCCTTCTGGAGGAGGAAAAAATTTCTGAGCCCTTTTTGGGGGCCTCTTTGGAAGTTTCATATGGCTGCTGCTTCCACAGACCTGCTAGTTCTCCCACCTTTTGTTAGCCATATATTTCCACATAATGTGTCCCAGCAACATTTATTTAAAAAAGTTATGTTCAGAAGTGGTCCAGCACATCATGTCTTGAGACAAAACCATTTTGAGCACTGGAGTGATTTCCCTAGAAGAGGATTTGAGGTGAAGTTGTTGATAGGTTATTCCCAGGTAGCATGACTGGTAGCTGTATAACATGTTGTTCCTCTTTAGCATTTGTTATTCTCCCATTTTGCCACAAGTGGTTACTAAAAAAGAAAAAAAATCAATTGAGTTATCAGGGCAGGAGCAACACAAAATTGGCATTCATTTGTTAAGGTCACTATTAATTTCCATAGGTTGTAGTTCATGATTAATCTTATTGTTATGTTAAACAGGCCAAAGTCAACTCTCTGTCTCTGTATTGCCCTTTCTCTCTCCAGCATACAATATATATGTGTTTTCTGTCTTCTCCCCTCTCCATTCCCTCCAGAGCATACTCATTTCATGTGAGTGCTGATGGACAAATGCAGCCTGTACCTTTCCCTCCTGATGCCCTGATCGGACCAGGAATCCCCCGACATGCTCGACAGATAAATACCCTGAACCACGGGGAAGTGGTGTGTGCAGTTACTATTAGCAACCCAACGAGGCATGTGTACACCGGTGGAAAAGGATGTGTCAAAGTGTGGGATATCAGTCATCCAGGGAACAAAAGCCCTGTCTCTCAGCTGGATTGTCTGGTAAGTCAGGATCAGAAGATCTCTCTAGTCTGTGGCCCACTGGAATGATGGCCATTGAGTCAACATTTTTGGCCACAGTGTCAGGCCGTTAGGTAGCCAGCCACTCTGTTTTTCCAGACTGTGGCTTATGCAGAAACAAAAGTTCCAAAGTTCAGTTAATTACCTATTTTAAGCTATAGGATTTGATTGGCTTCTAAAAGCACTTCCCCATTTTTTTATTGAAGTGCAGACATCAGTTATGTATTTGATTTGATCAAATGAACTTAAGGTGATTTTTCAAAAAATAAAACAAATAAAAAGGTTGTTTTGAGTTGTGTTCCAAGAACCTAAACAATTTTCTTTCTTTTCCTTTTTATTTAAATGTTGGTTTTTGGTACTTAAAGGATATCTTTAAATTATTCCCCTTCCCACTGGAGTCCCATTGGTATGTGTTGTTCTACTCTTCCTTGCATATGACAAAGTAAAAAATCCTGCTGCAGGTATTATATAGGAACATAGTCATTATTTCTGCATGCTAACCAGTATCAGCATTGTTGTAGTTTCCTCATTCATGATGTAGTGGTGTCTCCTGCTGTAATGCTGCTAAATGAAAGCATCTAGTACTCTAGTAGGTACTGAAAGAATATGAAACTGAAGAGACTTGCCAGATCTCTCTCACTCTTGAGTGTTCAGGTTTTTCTAACTTTTTGGCAGTGTTGGTAGCAGTTACAAAGGCGTTGCCTGCTGAGAATTTCAAGTGGTTAAAATAACAAGAAACAAAGCACTGGTTCTTTTAAAAAAGAATCAAGTGTAACCATCCAAATAAGCACTTAAATGGCTCATGAGCTTTGAACTGTTTGGGGCTGGGTGTGGGTCTCTGTGTATTGATGCTAATTAAGATTAAATATCTCTCACTGCTGAATTTTGTGGATCAAGTTTAAGTACTTCCCTAATGTCGTGCAATTTTCTGGCATTAATCCACTTTATCATTGTCATAAGTATAAATGGCTCATTAAAACCGAGAGGGAATACGATACTTTTATGGATTTCTGCTCTCCTGTTCATGCTGTTTTCCTTTCCTCATGAGTAATCTCTTGATGGCTCCTGTCTCCACAGAACAGAGATAACTACATCCGCTCCTGCAGATTGCTCCCAGACGGCCGCACCCTAATTGTTGGGGGGGAAGCCAGTACGTTATCCATTTGGGACCTGGCTGCTCCAACTCCACGCATCAAAGCCGAGCTGACATCCTCTGCCCCAGCCTGCTATGCTTTAGCAATCAGCCCTGACTCCAAAGTCTGCTTCTCCTGTTGCAGTGATGGGAACATAGCGGTTTGGGATCTGCACAATCAGACTCTAGTCAGGTAGGTCTACTATCAAGCAACCACCCTTGTCTTCACATTGCCTGATATTTCTCCTGCTGGTGTCATGTTACTGGAGCTTTAGCAGGTGACGGTAGATATTAGGCTAGAAAGCTTACTAAAAATCACATGCCTTGTTGTTTATCTAATCTGGTGCATCCTTTGCATATAGATGAAGACTATTAGGATATAGTACTTGGTCCTGCTTTGTGCCTGTGGCCTTCCTTTTCTTGTTCTGTCAGAGACTCCTTCCTAAACAGGAACCATTGCAAACTCCCTCAATACCAAGCTGAGCCCACACTTGTATGTGTGCAGCCTCATAAACAGGAGCATGGTTTCTGATTGATGCAATAAATAAAAACTCTGCCTATCAGATTGATTGGCTGGAATTTTAAGGCAGCAAGAAATCCTTAGAAGGTAGCTAGTCAGAATGATGTCTACAGGTGGGAAGAGTTGCCATCAAGAAGACTCAACTGAGTACTGATTTTCATAAACCCAAAATAAGCCTCAAGGGGTTAGCTTTGTTTGTGTAAGTTGTACAGAGAAATGAAAATAAAAAGTATGCATAGTGGATACTGAATAAAAAGACACAGGTGTTGATAAATAATATTTGCCATCAGCTTGTATGTATGCTAGAATTTGTGCCAGCAGAAGATGCTAGGCATTTGTATTCTCATAGGTTGTTGTGGATTTTTTAATGTATTTTTCCCTTTGTTGTTTCTTGGTCTCATTATGAGTCCTCTGGGGTTGTGGGAGCAGAAAAGGGTTTTTTTTAAATCTAAATTTAATTTGCTCCTGAGATCTGAAGGCAGGTCAGACAGTAAACCTAATTAAATACAGATAAGAGTTTGAGCAGCCCCAAGCTGGGAATTCTTAGAGAGATATTAGTTGCTGTTATCTCCAGTGAAGGAAGAAGTATACTAAACGAAAACTAATAGCCGACATAGAATCCAAAGAGTGATTGTACCTGAAGACATGGGATGTCATCAAGTAACAGCTCCATTCAAGATATTCTGCATGGAAGATACTTTAAGAAGCTGGGTGTTTTCTTAAAAGAAAGCTGGTTTGAAACAGCTCTTTGAGTTTTCCAAATGCATTGCAGTTTTACATCCATCCTAGCCAACATGATTGAGTTGGTTGAGATGAAGGGAGGTTTAGTCCAAAATAGCACCAGACTGGAATTCTGATTTAAGGTAATGTTCTGGAACCTTTCAAGGAGGACACCCAAAAGCTAGTGTGTGTTTGGTGCATGTATACTGTGATATTAAAGATGTTGATGTTGACATCGATACCCATAGTTACGCAGTGGTTTCAGTCACTGGGGGAAGATTCAGAAAGAGATTTAGACTAAACTCAGTTGTTAATTCCAGGTAAGTAGACCCATTTATATTGATGCTATTTGCATAAATGTAATTTAAGCAAACTGTAATTTAGTTCTCCTGTAATTGGAACTAACAACTGGATTTAGCTTATAATTTCTTCTCTTGAGCTAATTAATATTCAAAATACTGTATGTGTCCTCTTTTGAATTATATAGAGTTCTACTTACATGTTTTTAAATGAATTAATCTAGCATATCAGCCTCTAAATTTGGTAAAATTAAAAAGCTCTTCAAGTCTATAGAATACTGAATTTTAGCATATTAATATGCTAACCTTCTAATGTTCTTTCCCCCCATATTCTTCTTTACCTTTTTCATTTTTCTGCATAGGCACCTAAAGTTTGCAAAGGTTTGGTTGGTTGGTTGGTTGGTTGTTGTTGTTTTGAAACAACAAGTCCCAGAGTCCCCTTCTCTGTTGACTGAGGTGATTCTAGGACCTGTCGCTGTAATATTTCCAAACTCTGCCTAGATGCATGAATAGGAGCCTGTTGTGATTCAGAAGCTGGCTCGTAGGATTTTTAAAATTGTTCAGTCCTCTAAAAAGCACTGCCTGTTTTTTCTGTCTGTCTTGATTTCAGACACGTTTGGCACTTAAAAATGAAAATTAGAGTGTTTGGAATTCCTCTCTCAAGGCAGTCTTTCATTCCAAAATGAGGCACTTTCTGTCTTTTTTTTTTAATCCTCCGCCCCTGACATTTTCAGGCAGTTCCAAGGCCACACAGATGGAGCCAGCTGCATTGACATTTCCAACGACGGCACTAAGCTCTGGACGGGAGGCCTGGACAATACAGTGAGATCCTGGGACCTGAGGGAAGGAAGACAGCTCCAGCAGCATGACTTCACCTCACAGGTGCTGTCCTTAAAAAAAAAAAAGCCTTGACAGGTGGAAGAAACCTGTGTTGATCTTTCATTAACCTGGGCAGCAGCTGCTGCTGAATCTTTAATTTTTCTTCTTCTTTGCCCCTGTAGTGGACGCCTTCCAAGGCATCATAGTCTTCTGTAGGAAATATCTCACCCCACCCAAAAGAATTAGCTATTACTCATTGATGTAATAAAGTATCTGATTTCAGGATGCTTGTTCATTGTTGTTTTTATGAATCTTATTCTGAAATAATTTTTAGGAAAATATTATTTCAAGTTGCCTTGTATCCTTTTAAGGAGAAAGGCAGGGTAAAAGTATTTTAAATTAAATTTTAATTAATTAATTAATTCAATCCAGCCCAGAAATACCTTATTGTTCTTGATTACCACTGAATGTCATACAGATTTTTTAAAAATAAAACATGCTGTTTTGTCTTCATCTCTTGCAGTAATTACGTTGACATCACAAAAAAACACTATGCTGAAGACCATAATGTTTTTCATGTCTTCTGAATAGTAGTAGTTTTTTTAAGCCTTGCATATTCCATTAACCACTACCCTTCACATTCTTTGAATTCTAGATCTTTTCCTTGGGCTATTGCCCAACTGGAGAATGGTTGGCAGTAGGCATGGAGAACAGCAACGTTGAAGTCCTTCATGTCACAAAACCAGACAAGTATCAACTCCATCTTCATGAGAGCTGTGTGTTATCCCTGAAATTTGCTCATTGTGGTAAGCAGTTCAGTTGCTGCTAGGATTGTCTTATTTTCACCTAAGATATTTCCAATGTAAATAGGAAAGGAAGAGCAAACGTAGGATACTGCTCATTTTACACATGTGATTCAATTTTTATATATTTTGGTCTTTTTTTAATATATTTTGCTAACATGTCCCGGACAGATATCTTGTTTTATTCAGTGAGAAATGAGTGGGGAGGGAACAGAGAGAATATGTTTTTAGTCTAATTGTAATATAATACGTTAAATCTAATTTCAGGCAAATGGTTTGTAAGCACTGGAAAAGATAATCTTCTGAATGCATGGAGAACACCTTATGGAGCCAGTATATTCCAGGTAATATTTACAGAGGTGGCAGAATATCTAATATAAGCTCTCTCTGTCAGGTTACATCCCAGGTCAGGCTTGCCCATCCACCCAGCAAGCAGAGAGCAGCTGCAGTACAGAAAAGGCAACAGGAAGTAGATAGCCTCCAATACTAAACAACAGTTGTATTGGCTATTCCCAGTCTGTTGATACCTTACATTTCTAGTAAAGTGTTACCATGTGCATACATGTAAAATTGTGAACCAGCTTTAATTCTTATTCTGTTTTAAAGATAATTGTTTGGCTTATATCATGGCATTCATTTTTTAAAATTTTAACAAGCTTTCTTGTAACTTATGTCAGAGAGATACTTTTCACATTTAGCACAAAAAAAGTGTCCTTGCCACCACACATAGAAGTGGAAGTGGCTGGTAATACATGCAGTTGTAGGTACATTTTTTTCAAAACAAATATGACATGCTTTGTGGTCCTTTTTAAAATCTGTTACATTATGTTTTGTGTGTATCCATAGAAGATATAATAATACGTGCAATTTGAAAATACTGTGTAGGAAAAGATGCAAAGATGTGCTCTTCTCTTTTGATGTTTTCTTATGTCCTAGTTTTAGCATTGGAGTTTCTCATAGTTCTTTGTGCTCGGAGGCTATGATGTTTCTATGGAGCCGATCTTTCGGAGTAGACTCAGTTGATAGGTTTAAATAATTCTTAGATTAGTCAGGATCTTTCTGCCAAATTTTTTAAAAGGGCGAGTGGCATCTTTTACTTTTCTACAGAAGTTTGTTTTACTGCTGTTCTTTCCAAAGAGCCTTTGCCATCCTGCCTTTCAGTTTTCGTTCAAGAAAGTTTATGTTGTACTCAAGATTTTAAAAAGAGATAATTATACATGTACATGCCCTTTTTAGACACATTTTAATTGTGGGCTTAGACAAATAATCTTTTCTCTAAAAGCTGATTTGAAGAGAGTTTGAACAAATAATTTTATTGTTGGAGATGCTACTCAGTTATCTTAAATCTCCTACTAATAAGCCCGCCTCTTTCTGTAATATATTGTGAAATGGTTTTGCCTTTATTAAATCTGAACTAAAATGAGGTAAAAAAAAGAAGAGAGAGAGTTGGAGTTTTAAGACTGGAAAGAGATAGATGGGTAATCTGATATGTTGGGAGGTTTGTGAGGAATTACAGATTACATGTAGTTTGTCTTGGGAAGTGACCACTTAGCATCTCTTTTTTTGAAGATGAATGGTTGTAATATTTGATTAAATCTGCTCTGAGCACTATGCAGTGGTATGTGCTCCAAGGATCTTCATCAAATAGTTTTTAATGTATCATTGGCTTCTGAATCCTTCTGCGAGAAGTTGGATCTATTCCCCATTCCAGTATTAAAATCCCTAGTAACGAATAACGATATTGCCAAGATTGGTTTTTGTTTTTGTTTAATTATTTGTTTTTATTTGCTGTTGTTTTGCTTGTTTGTTTTTGGTCAAAAGACAATATCTAGCCAAATACAATCTTTATAGACGCTGGTAGATTATTATCTAATGGAATACACACAGTTCTGTAATAAAAGGAATATTATGAGGAATTTCATCTTCATCTACTAAAATTTAATGTACTCCAAACTCTCAAACTCTAAAGATGACGAAGAATCTAGAATAATGAAGCCACTTATAAGACAAAGCAGTTCAGTCCAGCAGGGTTTCTGAAGATACTTGGCATCTGTTCTTCTTTGTGACCTCTTTACTGGTCATCCAGATTTTGCCTCATGAGTGATTATCAGTAGAGGTTTCCTGCACTTTCCTTGATAGGAAATGGAGAAGTACTTCCCACCAATTTCCTATCTTGATGTTGAAAAGTTGGCAATTCTCTTCAGGATTCCATTTGAAAGTGCACCTTGCATCACCACCTTCTTTATCTTTAGCATTCTCCACAAGGCATGCTTCAATTTCCCACAAAGCCTTTTTTTTTTCAAAACGAGACTGTACAATAGTGTTAGGTGATCCTCTCTCTCTGATTCTCACACTTTTCCCATCACATATACAAACATATGCAATAGAACGTTGTTTCTAAGCTGTTCTAGATTGTACAGGTGTATGGCTGCATTTTCAGCTCTGAGAGAAGACTTTGAAGTGTATCTAAACAAGTAGTCCCATTGATTTTTGATACAAAATGCTGTCTTCAAGGCTAATTTAGGATAACTGGTTATCATGACATGGGGAACAGATTAGGTCGGTACTGTGTTGTTTGAACTACTGGAGATGTAATCAAAGGCTGCAATGAAGAAAGTGGTATCAGTGTGGTAATATGTTTGTTTGCTAGGTTACTAATCTCCATGCTCATCTCCAGAGAAAGTTCCACAATCAAAGTCTCAGGTCCACAGAATTAGCAGCAGTTATGTATGAGCATACAGAGTTAAGAAAACAGCACTAGGTCTAATGCAAACATATATGGCTAGAACATTCAATAATTTTGTTATTATTAAAAGGGAAGAGTTAATGTTTCCTTTCATTTGTGTCAAAAAATGCTAACTCTAACTCTCTCTCTCTCTTTTAATTCTTACAGTCCAAAGAGTCGTCTTCTGTGCTTAGCTGTGATATCTCTGTGGATGACAAATACATTGTCACTGGCTCTGGGGACAAGAAAGCTACAGTCTATGAAGTTATTTATTAGAGACAAATCTGAATGAAAGCCCTACTCCTCCTTGTAGCACTTTGCTGTATATTACTTTTATTTTTCTCCTTCCCTATCTGAGGACTGAAAATGTTCATCACAGTTGTGGAATAGTCCCACTAGATTTGCTATTTAATAGCAACCGCTCGTTAAGAACTTGTAATACCAAATCTCCAGCTATCTACTTGGAAGAAGATAGAATAAGCATACTTAACAGGGAACTGACTCTTTTAATTATGTATCATAGCTGTAATGTATTTATTTTGTTTAAAGAAATCTTTCTAACAAGGAACTGACTAAATAAAGTGGTCTGCTTCTGCCTTGGATTTGAAGGTACGTTACATTCTTGATGCTTTTTATCTTGTGGAAGATGACAGGGTTATTGGAAAAGAGGGGGAAATTAGAATTCATTCTTAAGCATAGTCACCCAGGCAGATTCTCATCTCATATGCGTGCATTGTAGAATCCTAGTATTTAACAAATAATGTGCTTATTCCTTATGTCTGAAACCAGGCATACTGTGGTTCATCTTGTTTATGGTTTAGAGAAACATTCTGGCTTTAATATGTAATTTATAGTCTTGACTTATTTCACTTAACCAGCTTTTCCTGATGACTACATCACCCATCAGCCCCAGCCAGCAGAGCTATTGTTCAAAAACTGTCAGAGTTGTAAGCCAACGGATTTGGACAGGCTCCATTAGGACAGCACTGCCCTAAAGGATAAATTAACATTAACTATAGTTTTACATTCAGATGAACTGAAAAGCTAGTCCATCACCTGGCCTATCTTCATATGCTAATGAAACAGGCACATTGGGAAGAAATTTGGAGGAAAAAAATTGATGTTGTAGTCTTTTACGCCCACTGGGTAATATCAACGATTTCTGAATTCTAATTGGGGCTTCATTAAATGCTCCTGTTTTGCAAGTAATGAATAATTTTAAGAGGAAATAACGTCTTAAGAATTATTCATTACTTGCAAAACAGGGCTACATGTAGTGAGAAAGTGAAATCTTGTGTCTGTCAGGCATTGTCTTGGGGGCCAATCTCAGTCATTTTGTGTTTGTTGATGGCAAGTTCAGCTGACGTCTGAAGAGGCCAAAATGTATGCCAGATATAAGATTGCTCTTAACATCTGTATTAACCTGTCATTTCGCAGTATTTTGTAAGCAGTACTGTGTGCTGTGTTATTCTTTCTAAGACGTGTAAGTGCAGTGCATTGCTCAGGATTTTTAATATCACTTCTGTTTTGTGTGTTCCAGAGAGAAGTACAATAATGTGTCTCAAAGAATCACCTTCATTCCTTCTGGATGTTTTTGCCACATTTCTTTGAAAAGGGAGATGTGTGTCTTTGGGCAATTTTGCAGTTACAAAGATTACAAATTTTTTTTGATACATTCATTGGAAATGGCACTAAGAAGGGAATGGATTCCTACAAGTGTACAAACTGTAAAAACAAGGACCTCAGAGGTAGGATTTAGAAGAGCACTCATTCTGAAGTGCGGAACAGAATGGATTTTCACTCGGGAGAAGGACTTGCTTTATTTACTGCCAGTTCTATCCAAGTCTTAGTTGAACGTCCCTGAAATGGACGCAGGCTGAGCCATTGTGCCAGAAACATTGTGTTATCTTTTTATGTTGTTGTTGTTGCTGTTAAACTATGACCTGTGACATATTTTTTTTTCTGAATGCTTTAAAAAAATCTTTAAGTCTGTGGATCTGCTGATGTACAGTGCCTTTGCTGCTATGGATCAAATCAAAAGAACTGTGTAGATAAACCTTTATTGTGTAAGTAGAAAATTACTTAATTTCATACTAGAAATGGGTTAATGCTGCAAGTTGAAATGGACTATTCATTGAAGTTCCAAAATGTGGTAGCAAAAAAAAAAAATGTGTTAAGTGCTGAGTGTTTGATGTCATTAACAGTTTCGTAATACTCTACAGTGTAGAAAGATTTTGATACTAAACCGTGTCATTGTACATAGTTCTAATGCATTGTATTGACCACAAGTACTTCTATAATGGTAGATTATTGTTTGTGCATTCAAACTTTTAAGCATTAAACATAAGTAACTTGTAAGAAGTGGGGTTTTTTGCCTATTTTCCCCCTTTTCTTGTATATTACAAAATGAGTCCAGCTGACAGAAGTGAAAACTTTTTTGAAAGAGCCAGAAGCAATGTATGTTGAAAGGCATTTTCCACCCATATGTGTGTCTGTTTAGTCAATTGGTTTTTCACATTAATATTAGCATTAACTTCTTGGGCATCAGTACTAGATAAAATTTCCATCACAACATTTGGGGCATATTTTTTTTCTTTTTACATAGGTATCTGTACCACAAATCTGGTGTTTAATAGCCACTGCCTCTTTCCCAAGAACTCTGGAAATCATCATTTCTGAGAGATAGATAACTATAAAGAATGTTTGGCCCTTGCACAATTACATTTCCAGGTGTTTATCATGGCCTTTCAAGAAGGTATGACAGTGAAACTAATATAAAATTGGCAATAGGTCTCTGGTGGTATAGATATACCTTTATTCTGCATCGTTCTTTTGTAGTTTTAGGTTTTCATTTGATCAGTAAAACAGGCCGTATTCTACCTAGGTGAAAAATATGCTATGTTTTATATTTCAAAGCTCACAGGTACAGAGGTTTTTCTTCCACTGCAGTTTTGCATCCTTAGTTGCAGTGTGGACATTGATACATCTGAATTGTTCATTTAGACTACAGAGTGACGCTCCATAATTATAAGGGCACATACACATACAAACAAATTGTGTTCTATTACAATTTCCCCCAAGCTTCAGCTTGCACTTCGGTGCCCATAATCTTTTGCTGCTGGCCCTGGTGGCAGGGACTAGTGGGAGTTAATTTCTGAAATTCAAGGACGCCAACTTGGAATCACTGAGCTCTAAAAGGGGAACCACCTCCCCTTGGCTCTGTAGCATTAGACACCCACCCCATGTGGCGATCTAGTCTTTTTTTTTAGTGTGGGATGGGCATCAAGGTAGGCTTAGGCACCTTTTGTGAATGTGGAAACCAGTTCCACCCAGCCCTCCGGGACTTGCTGTGCACCACAGTACCCCTCCTGCTGAAACTAGAAATGACCGAAGTCTCCTGTTATTGTTCTCTCCCTCTCTCTCTTAAAAACATCTGTTTTAAATGTGAATGGCAGCAGAAGGACAAAGGAGCTGCAAAATAAGTTGGCAGCATATGCCACCCACTGTTATTGTAGACAGAATCATGCTTAAGGAAAAGTGATTGAATGATTGTGATTCACCTTGCAAGTATTCACTGAATTTTTTCAGTGTTAGGATAGAACTTTCTATATTAGCATGATTAGGATAGTGCACTCTTTGAGTATCTATGCACTTAACACCCTTGAAATCCAGGCTTATAATCAAAATGGATGAGGATGGAGAGCAGTCCATCACACATCTGCTTTGGGCCCTCAATGAAATGAAATAGTTTTCCAATCTTGCCCTGATGTTGCTGTGATCCTATGACAGCTGAATGGAATGCCTTGGCTGTGAAGCCATGCTTCAGATGCCTTTGTCCGAAACACTCCTCCCACTGCTCATTTGAATGATTTTTGCTTGGGAATATCTGTTGGCTTTTGGGAGAGGGCAAACGATGTCAGTGCTGTCTCTTGTTTATTTGCTCATGTGTGTCCTTTTCAGAGGTGCACTTGATGACTTCTATGCATGTGCGAATACTTTGAAAAACAGGATGCAGTTAAAAAGTGGAGCTCTCTAAAACTAAATGTCAGCTACTGAGTCTCTGTGGCATGGACTGCACACTGTGTATTATACCAAGTAACCACTGCACGTAGTGTGTCAGAGGTGCATACGATGAGCATCCTCACTTTGGATCCTTCATTGTAGATGGCCCTGTGAACCAAATTTCCAGGGAGCTAACAATTAACCGCTGGTTATATAATACAGTTTGAAGCAGCAGCCAAGCCATATTGAAGTGAAGCAGTAGGAAGAGAGTGGTGCCTAAGTCAGAAGTCCCACATTTTCTACAGTGTGCCCCCTTCACATTCACTGGGAGAGATGAAGCTTGAAGAAATGTGCTGTAGAAGATCATCTTTGACAAGCTCTTAAATAATGCACCTGCCGCATCTGCTTTTGAACCAAGAGTTACTGAACACAACCCTTGAGACTTCACGTTTCTTCCGGTATTTGGAGTACAGCATCTCTACCTCAGAGTGTGATTTTTTTTTAATGTCAAAACCAATAAATGTTTTTACTTTTACCAAATGATTTTCTGTCCTGGTTACAAGGAAACAGTATTATAGTGTCTTTTTTATTATTAAAAAAAAGGCGTAGTCTGACATTTACAACATGTCCATAAAACTGCTGTTGACTGCAGTGAAGCATGTCTATCAGTCACTTGGCTTCATAGGGATCTAGTCAAAATGTAGCTTATATATATATATATTTTCCTTACAGGCCTACAGTGTTTTCTGTAGACACTAATAGAGCTATTCCACTAACCATGCCACTTCAAGAGCTTTTGAGCCTCTTTAAAGAAGGAATGTAAGGGTAAGGAGACTGTGTTGTTAGAATATTCATTTGTGCTAGGAAATTCAATAGTAAGTATTCAAAATGTGAAGAGAAATTTGGGGTGTTAGCTACTTTTATTAATTGCTAAGGAAGCCTCAGAAGGTGTGTGTAAGACTAGAACCTCTTGAAGTGTTAACATACTATATAAATTGTGGCACTTAGAATTTTTTCTTTAACTTTTAAGTGTACCATGGGAGCAGTCCTCATTTACTAGCTCATCTCCTCCATAGCTCACTCTGTCTGTCATTCTCTTTCTCTGCTTTCAAAGCTGTTTGTAGAAATACAGTTTTAAAGTATGTGTCAAGGAAATTAATCACCCCAATTGGACAATGAAGAAAAATTTAGATCTTCATAGAATAGAACATAATACAGTACTTTAAAAGATATTTGATAAAAATCAGTTACTAAAAGGATATGGAAAGAACTATGTAGTTTCTCAAGAGTGCTATGTAACTACAGTAGTACCTTGGTTTACAAAATTAATCTGTCATCTGGGACATTACATAATGCGGAAATTACCGTATTTTTCACACCATAAGACGCACTTTTTCCCCACAAAACGGGGTGGAAAGTCTGCGAGCGACTTATGGAGTGAAAAAAACAGATTATATTTTCCTGTTTTCTTCTCCTAAAAAATTGGTGCGTCTTATGGAGCGAAAAATATGGTACATAAACCAGAATGTGGATTCCGGTAGCAATGGAGGCAGTGCTAGAAACCTTCAGACGTGATGCATCCTTTTCGTACAGTGGGGGGAAAAAACCCTATAAACCGAGGCATTATTTGTTATGGATTTTGGGTCGTAAATCAAAAATCATGTAAACTGAGGTACTACTGTATGTAATTTATGAAATCTAAATCTTCTGAATGATGCTCATTTGCCTAGAACCAGCCTCTTTGTAGATGGGAGCTGCATAGTATCTAAGCCCAGCTTCTAACAGAAAACGCTCTTTGCTTTTTTGTTTTTCTGGAGATGGACTCCTGTATTTTTTTTCAGGGGGAGGGACACCTTACCTTCTAATGCCTCTCTGCTATTGAGCACCCTAAATCATGGGTTGCTTTTAAATATATGTGTAGTGCCCTTTGGACTTTTAAAATATGTTGAACGATAGTACAGGAGCATGTAGAGTCATTCTACTAATGGGTAATATGCTGAGAGAGACTCCTTCAGAATCAAGCTTCTCTTCCTGTGGAGAGCAGGATTTTGTATAATTAAAATCAAGCCACACTATATGATTCTCCGTCCTAAATAGAATTCCTGGGTAGGCTACCGTTGCATTTAGGTGATTGGAACTGAAGTGGAAAGCTCTTTGCCAATCTGATGGATGAGTGGAAGGGAAGTGGAAGAAGGTAAAACAGATTTTTTTAAAAAAATGGTTGGTGGAGTATAATTCTTAGCGTGCATTGTGTTGATTTGTACAGCAAATGCATTAAAACAGGAGATCATAGACCATTTAGGTCAAGGAGCTGTACCATATTTTTTCAAATAGATGCTCTGGAACCATTCTGGATCAGCAACAATGCTTTAGCATTTTATGGGGTCAGACAAATTTGATGACTTGGGCTGGAACAAGCAATACAGTCTCCTTCCCACTTCCTCATTGCTGTCCTGAGTTGTGAAAGGAAGCCACTAACCATATCACTGTGACAACAGTGATAGGTAGAAAGTAAAATACTCAGTAGTTAGGTGACAGCAGTCTCTCCTCAGGGAATCAGCAACAATAAGTAGTGACATCTCTCCAGCACCTTCTTGGCCAGAGACCTTGACAAGGTAAAGGGGGCAACGGAGGGAACATTTTATTTTCTCTGTGTATTTGAGCTCTAGCCATTTCTTCTAGGAAGAAAGACTGTTTTGCAAAAGCAGAGGGAGTAAAAGAATATGGAAAACAGAAGAAAGAGCCCAGCTCTTGCTTTCCTTCAGCCTAGCTCTTGAGAAGATGGAATGCGGGATTATTTCAGCAAAGTTAACCCGGTGTCTAGATCCTGAGAATATGGCAGGGCTGTCCTAAGTGGGAATTGGGGAAGAAGGCTAAAGGGGAAGATTGACTACGATTTTCAAAGTTGTATGTTCATGTGGTTGAGCTGTTGGACAGACTCCCTAGACTCCCCCTTCCAGCATAAATCTTGCATTATTATTTAAAATTCATCCAATTCAGTGGGGAAGAATTATTTTGCAAATGTCTTGAAGTGGAAAGGGAATCCTGGTGAACGAAGGGATTTGGGATCTATTCCTTTCTGGGGATTGCAGCTGATGACAGGTGTATGACCACCACATTTTCCACAAGCAAACTGAGGAATCTGGGACAGCTGTGGTCCTTCCTCTGGTGGCTTCTCCACCACAAAACCTTCCGGCCCAGCCTAATCCCTTTTGGGCGTTTGCTAGGCAAGTGGGGGAGAATTGTCCTACATAAGCAATTTTCTATGGGCAAATATTTGCTTGTTTTGGGATTGCTGACTGAAAATATGAAATAATTAAAGAACACAATATAGAGAACCCATTCATGTTTCTTACATAGAAAACGCAGCATGAGAAGCCAAGGGATAGGCCTCTACTAGAGCATATCTTCCTCATACGATTGACCCTATTATTGAGCGAAATAAGTCAACTACATGAAGTAGTGGATGTCATCAATGGACAGCAGTTTGGGGGAAGTTTTGTTATTGGCTAGAACCTATTACTGATTTCCAGTTGTGTAAGTAAAGTCATTTAAGCCTTCCCACTAACAGAACACAACCAGCACCTTATTAATCAGCGGCATTTTTTTTCTAGCAAGGCTTGTATGATTTCTCTTGTGCATGGAAAAATCAGCACTAGGATTCTTTCTGACCCTTGTCTTTTTACTGTTTAATTGTGTTATAATTTTTCATATTTGTGTTGTATGTTGTAAGCCGCCTAGAGTGGTCGCAATGACCAGATAGGTGGGGTATAAATAGAATAAATAAATAATAATAATAATGAATATTTACTGCCACAGAGGGGGAGAAGGGCTCATGAGGCATTCTACCATACATGCCACAAGAACTTGACAGATCTCTGGTACTAGTCACTCTGGTTTAGAATAATAGAATATTGAAGTTGGAAGGTGCCTATAAACCATCAAGTCCAACCCCCTGCTCAAGGCAGGAATGTAAATCAAAGGATATCTGCCCGGTGGTTGTCTAAATTTCTCTTGAATGCCTCTTGCGTTGGGA